GACTTCACTTGTGTCATCGGTTTAAGAGTAATGAAGAGATATATTCGTTGTTGTTTTTATGATTTTAATGCCGCCGGACATCATCGTCTTCTAATATTCAGGTGTGGGCTCAACAATATCGTCTCGTAATCATATCATCACTTACAATTGTCTACAAAAAAGTACAACATACTGCCGAAAAACCAGTTGATTCCTACTTTATTATTTTATGCATTTTTTACGCATAAAACGTATACCTGCTTTATATATATGCCACCCCCCTACTTTTGGGGCTTGGAAATTTTGGAAAAAAAGGGTGGCTTGTACATGGGGAAATACGGTAATTAAAACGGATAATCCGCAACATCGTGTCAGGCATGGAAACGCAAAGGGGTAGAATAGTCACGAGCGCCGTCTCACCCATGTCGAATACGACCAGGTGACTGGGCAGATGGGCTTGGTACTCGTCCAGCGACTTCATTGGGAGGAGCCGTCTTCGCCAAGCCTGCAGACCGGCCGGTTGGCCAGCAATGTTCTCGCCGAGCCCCGAGGGGGTTGAGTGAAGAGGACAACGGTCTGACAAGGTCCCGCCTTCCAAGTCTGCCGCCTGCACACCCTCTTCCTCTTCTGACTCGGCACACGGTTGCTTGGTTGTGCACAACTCCGTTAGCAAAGATGAGCGAGAGTTTGCCAAGTCCATAGTCTCATCAATTGAAGTGCCTAGACCAGAGGATGAGAGACGAGCTGCACTCGAGGTGGGCGTAAAGTTAAGGGAATAAAGGGAAGAAAAGATGTGGTAAGTGGTGGCGAAGAAAGGATGAATAAGAAGTTTTGCGCTTAGTTTCATTTCGAATTAAAGTGTTGCGTGAAGAGATTCAAGGGCCGGTTCCACCCGAAGATGATGGCGGATTCCTCTTGACCAGTTGGCGATTGCTGAAGCTGTCTCCGACAATGAGTTACTGAAATCCACTGACCAACCCTCAAATGCCGTACACATACTGTTGGTTGATTTGTTTTTGTTAAACATAGCTTTAATCAGTTAAAACCACTCGCAAGTCCATAAAGAGAGAGGTACTTACGCTTGCGAAACCTACAGTCATGGCTTTGAGTAGTTGGAACAGAAAGACAAGAATAATTTATTCACACACATTTATTCGAAAATGTTATTTGGTAGAGAGATTAGAAGGTCGGTACCAGCAGAAGACGACGGCCAATTCCTCTTGACCAGCTGTCGATTGGCTTTACTGGAACATTCTTGTTGTTGTACATGTTTCCGGGGCAATCTCCTTCAATTCCGGTGAAAAGGTGCTAAGCTTTCCTCCGTCACATGACTAACTTCATCTGAGCATCGAGGGTATAATCGTCACAACCAAATTCAAGCTAACGAGTCAAGAAAACTCACCGACAAATCCCTGAAAAGTGGTATATATACTCTAAATCTGGCCTATTTGATCGGGTATAAGGTGATTTGGTTAGCTAAGGTCATATGTCAACTTGGATGTATGTGAGTGTGTCTGTCTCTGTATGTGTATGTGTCTGTTTGTGTTCGCTTATGCACGAAACCCGAAGTCATGGCTCAAAGTAATTGGTACAGCAAAAAGGAAAGTCTGTTTTTGGCCATCAAGGTTTGAGGACCCCTATCTCCTCCTTTCTACATTTAAGTTATAACCATCACCTTCGCACCGGAATCGAGTGAGATTGCCTCGGAAACAGCGTCAGCATGCATCTTCCAGTAAAGCCAATCGAGAGGAATCGGCCGTCGTGTTCTGGTGGAACCGACCTTCAAATCTCTTCACGCAACACTTTCACTCAAAATGGAAGTAAACTCAAAAATTATGAAACAAGGGATTCCTCGAAACCCAACTTTTCTTCGAATAAGAAATGTGCAAGTTATGGGTGAGACGCGACAAATCGGCGTTGCCTCCATCTCGGAACATGGGCAATTCAATCATGAATAGCCAGCACATGTCGTATTATATATCGATCAGCAATTGCCATTTCCATAACTATTATAACAATATAAAATTAATAATTAAAATAATGTTAATAATGACCCTATAAAAATTATTATTATCATCATCATTATATTAATCTAC